CTCTATTCCTGGCCAGTATTGGGGATGTTGATTCATGTGCATTTCCTTTGGAATACGTTGATATATTGCTAGCAGCTGTAATATTAGTGATTGTTATTAAAACCATGGTAGTTGCTGCAGTTGTTAAGGGATTTAGATACAGCAACAAAACTTCACTTCTTGTTGGGATGCCTTGGCCCATTTGGGGCTGCAGCTTTGTTTTCTGGTTTGCATCGCTACTATAACATGAGGTTCCTTTGGATGTCCTCCTGTAAACTAACTCATCAAGGTTGTCAGGAGACTGTCCATGTTACGCCTCGCCTAGTGGTTGAAGTGACTAGGTTTGCTGTTGAGAAGGAGATGGTTGACTTTGTTGAAACATCATACATGTATCGGTGTCTTAAAGGGTCAAGAATCGATGCACTTAATTCAATCACCATCTCGTAAGCAAAGGTGGTGCAAGAAGATGTTCATTTGTTCTCATGTTGGATACCAAGTAAGTTTAAAATGTTTCACAGGAAATTTTGATTTGTCAAGCATCTTTTAAATAACTCTTGAAGATAAAAAGATTTTAAAAAAAATATTTTTGAGGAAAAGTTGAAAGTATCAATTTTTCTCGAAAATAAAAGTTTTCAAAAAATATTTTTGGGGAAAAGTTGAAAGTATCAATTTTCCTTGAAAATCAAAGTTTTCAAAAAAAAGGTTTTTGAGGAAAAGTTGAAAGTATCAATTTTCCTTGAAAATCAAAATTTTCAAAAAATATTTTTGGGGAAAAGTTGAAAGTATCAATTTTCCTTAAAAATAAATTTTCAAAAAAGGAATTTTTGAGGAAAAGTTGAAAGTATCAATTTTCCTTGGAAATCAAAGTTTCAAAAAAATATATTTTTGAGGAAAAGTTGGAAGTATCAATTTTCCTTAAAAATAAATTTTCAAAAATATATTTTTGGGGAAAAGTTGAAAGTATCAATTTTCCCTACACAAGAACAATCATTCTTTCCTTCCTTTCTATTTTGACTTTGATTTTGATTTTTCTTTAACTAATCCGACGACGGAGCCTCTGTAAGTGAAACAATAGTTTTTCTTGCATACTCCTGAGGTAAGGGAATTTTCTCAATTTTTTGCTAAAAGTATTAGAGTCAATTGAGAATAATTTTCAATAATTAACTACTTGGTAAAATTTTAAAGCTTTTGGATAACACAAATTTAAGCTGGTACCATCTTTTGATGGGCGTTGTGAGGGTGCTATAACCTTCCTCACACGTAACCGAACTCCCGAACCCTATTCTGGTTAGCAGACCTGAACCTATTCTTCTAGAGACCCTTAAACTTAGGTGTTCCCTAAAAGGACAGATTCTATAGGTGGCCAATCGCACCTAGATAAAAAAGATTGGTGGCGACTCCCTAAAGTCAATGTCTAGCGATAGATCCCCGGATCTAGACGTTATGACAATTATAATAATTAGAAATTTTTTATTACTCAATTTTATAAATGACAAATCAAATTGATTTAATTAAAATTTTTATGAAAATTTTTATTATAAAATTAAGGTTAAAATACTAAAAAAGTCTTGAACTATTAAACTTTTTTTAAATAAACCCTTTATATTTTTATTATACCCAAATAAACTTTTATACTTTCATTTGTATTTATATAAGTATTTACTTTCAAATAAAAGATTGATTTATATTAGAAGTTTGTTTAGGTAATAAAGTTTAAAAGCTTTTTTTTTATTGCAAATTAAATATTAAGGACTTTTTTGGATGTAATAAAAATATAATGATTTATTTAAATAAAATAATAAAATTCATGAATTTTTTTATTATTATTTTAACCTAAAACTAAAAATAAAAACTATATGAAAAATAATTAGGCATAAGTCGATACTAACTTCTCATAATTTAATAACGTGGACTCTATTAACAATGAATCTTGTTTTGGATTATACCTATCATCTCAAGTTTTGAGTTCGAATGAATTTTTTGAATATTAAGAATGCACAAAAAAAAAAAAAAACCCCTTGAAATTGTTAATTCATTGGTGAAGAATGGTTTGGAACCAATATTTAAATCACGTGAAGATTCTTTTTATAATTTTTAGGAAAATAAAGTTGTAGAGTTTAATAATATTAAAAATCAAAATAAAAATACCATAAAGAAAATGATTTATTATCTGTCTATATATAAATGTAAAGATTCGTTTGGTAGAGTTTCCAAAAGAAAAAAAATATTAGGAGGTAGATTGTTTTGGCTTGATTATAGATGGAAGAACGCCAAAGCCCTTTCTTGATAATGATTTTTGGAGGTAATTGCTATAGCATTTGATGATAGGAGCGTAGGGGTCTAATCGAGTTGAGTAGAGTTGATATAGTGAGAAGTTTGAGTTTTAGTTCGGCTCTCAACTTAAGGTTCGATACTTGATTCGAACTCGATCGAGTTTTATTTTTTTAGCTCGAATAAAATTTGTGATCGAAATCGAGCTACTCGAATTCGTTCGATTAAACTCGATTAATATGTTAAAATAAGCTCGATTCTTATATTCGATAATAGTTTGATTATTTGTGCTCAAGCTCGAACTCAAATTTAAGATATTTTATTAATTAAAATAATAAAAAAAATTTAAATATAAAAATTCGATTAAACTCACACGTTACTAAAGTCGGATACAAAAATACTCAAACTCGATTCGATTGATAAATCGAACTATTCGAGTTCGAGTTCGATTCGATAATAATCAAATCAAATTCGAATTTTATTCAAATCAAACTCAAATAATTTAAGAGTACTAATGTATCATTTATATTTTTACGAGAGCGTTTGGGGTATGCTTTTTGATTTGGTGTCAATACCACGTCAAACAGTATTTTTCAATGGGTCAATTTTCAACATTTTCATTAACGAAACAAAACAATATTAATCTAAAATTTGTATAATAATAATAATATATCTAACCACTTTATTTAAAAAATATCCCGAATGGGATGAGAGAGTGACAGGTGGATTGATGCTTTATTTTTTGGGGGGCTTTCTTTGTTGTTGGGTGCTATGTTCAAATTCTTTTTGGACAAAAACAAAATCTTTTTGGACAAAAACAAAATCTTTTGGCCAAGCAAATAAAATCAAAAGACCCCAATTCTCCATTTTTCATGAATAACTCGAAAAATTAAGACTTGTTTTTAATTTTAGGAATTGGCTAAATGGTTACGTTTTTGGGGTGAGTGGAGTAGGGATGGCTGGCATATCTAGGAGCTTTCAGAGCTTCCTCGAGGTCCAACTAAGCCGCCACTTCACGGCAAATGTGGTCACTGACGACGAGCTCCCCATTGGTGACATTGCGCATCATAATCTCTTCCTTCCATGACGTAAGAAAACCCTAGAATCAGAAGGGGGAGAATGTGATTTGATTCAAAAAATAAGAGCCCCTGAGTTTTATTTTAAGGGCGTGGAATTGAATGCAACCCTAGATTGCCTTTGGCTTTTGGTAAAGAGGTTTTTTCTTAATTGAAATCTGAGGGGGAAATGGAGGAAACAAGACGGGGAAGGGAGCATTAAATCGCGAGTGTAAAAAATAGGGTTTATTCGAGGCCTTAAGTCTGACCCTGGGATGCCATCATCTCATGCCCATTCCTTATTTTTCACTACCATGTTTATTATAGCTTCAAGTAAAGCATTTACACTCACGCCTTAATGAAAACCGTTTATCTTTGTTTTGTTTTATTCACTTTGCATTAGCTTCCAAGAATTTGCATTTGGAATGGCTGGGGGCTAATGAACTTTCAGTGAGCATTAGCGTTCTGGCTCTGGCATTTGGTTTATATTTTGTGAGTATACATTCTGAAAATTACATTAAAAGTTTGTTCTTTTTTCAGCAGTGGAAAGCCGTGACCTTTTGTTTGTTAGTTGTGAATTGTGAAGCTTATAGAATAAGTTATCTTATTGCTGGTTTTTATGTTTGACTTCTAGCTTGCAGTCATGGCTTCGAGTGTCACAGCAGCTTTAGACAATCAGTCAAATTCTTGTGGGTGCGGTCATAGGGTCGACTTTCTCAAATTTGTGGTACATGTCATGGGATGCTGTTGTTTTAGAAGCATTTAATTAAGGGTAATTGTTTAATTTGTTTGAATTATTTTTATGCGAGATTTGCATATTGTTTTATTTTAATACTTTGAAACAAAAGTAACCAAACTTTTTGCTGCAATTTTTTTGTTAAGTGTTACAACCTTTTCGCATAATAATTTCAATAACAACTTAAAAAATGTAATGCGAAAACAAAAATATTTATTACTACAACTTTTTTTTTTTTACGTACTATAAGTTTTTATTATTAATTTTTTATAATAAATTAAGTCAAATAATAATATGAATGAATAATTTGAGATAATTTACAAAACTTTCTATTGCAACTTTTTGTTATTATTTCATGTAATAAATTCGATAATTAGTACTAAAAACCCTTGATTTTATATGATTGTTATTACTTTATTTTACTGTTCAATTATTTTTTTAATTAATTTGATGTTATTTGACTAGTTATACTAAACTCACTCACTATATATTATATATAATTTTTTTGGAATTAAAAGTAATGAATAATACCCAAATAAACTTTACTAAAAAAATATAAAATAAGCCATTTTTTTATTGCACGAAATGAAAGTTATAAAATTTTATTTTATTATGATTATACAAATTAATTATTGAAAAGGAACAAATAAAGTTAAATTCTAAAAATTATTCGAATAGTATTCCTTTAATATTTTTTCATCTAATTCATCCAAACAAATTTAAGTAAGAATTTTTATAAATTACATCATCAAATCAAGAAAAATTTTACAAAAAATTGAATATTTTATAAGGTTACAATTACAATAAAAAATAATAATATATAACTTTACTTTCATGCGATAAAATACTAAATGATTATTTTTATTTTTAGTTAAAATTTAAAATTTATTTGGATATTATCCCTAATAAAACATTATAATTAGTATAGTTACTATCTTCTCAAAATTTATATTTATAAGGCGATGTGCGGGCCGACAATAGAAGCGAGTAGTGTAAAAACCAGGCAAGCTGGGCCGCCCAAAAGTTTGGTTAGCGAGCCAATCATCAGATGGGCGCAGATCTCAGGGACAAATGCCAGACCCTTTGAACGGCCCGTCCCAAGGGCATCCTCCCCTTCAACTCTCAGGATCGCCTTGACCGCCGGACTACTAACCATAACAACACTAGTACTATAAAAATTAGAGAAGAACGCGTGAGCCAAAAGTCACCGATTTAGACACCAATTTAGAAAGCCGAAGAGAAGAAGAGAGCTGGTTCATGTAAGTTTAAAGAAAAAAAAATTCTCCCAAATTTTTAACAAGATATAAACAAAAATAATAATAAGGGAGGGGAGAGAACTCAGTGTTTCGAATCGGCCTTTGGATATTCAGATCCGAGCATCGTCGGGCGATAGCCATGTCATCATCCTCCGTCTTCTCCACCGTCCGATCCTTCTCTCTTTTAGTCTTCGTTTTCTTCTTCCTCTCTCCCGCTTTCGCTTCCGAGTCTGATCACAAGGTAATCTCTCGTTTTTCCTCTTCCTCAACCATAACCCTATCCCTAAAAGTGAAGCTTTAGATCTTGTCTTTTTTCGTGTAATTCTTCCTCTATTTTGACTCGGATCTGCACACTTTTTCGTTGTTAATTTCTTTTGTGTGTGTGTGTGTGTGTGTGTGTGTTAGAATTAAGTGTTGCCTTTGACTTGTACAAATTCGTGATTTACGCGTTATTTGGGGCATTGGTTATACAAAAGTTTTGTTACTATGTTGGCATTATCAGTTGTAAGATGTGGATCTCTGATGGACGGTCTCGTAATGTAAATTCTCCATGAAATGGTCGAAATTGTTTACTAGCATGTCTATATATGTATTGTCAAGATTGGTATTCGCGCTTGAATTGTATCATTTACACGTTTAGATTAGGCAGTTAAGTTACAATCGAGGTAAGTCAGATTGTGGCGAAGCTGGCATGGAGATGTTTTTCCCAATTTCATTCTTTCATTTTTAAATATAGATCTTAGCATTTGCCGACTTTTTGTTTGTTGGATTAATTATTACACTATTCTTTTTAACATTGGTTTTCGATTGTATCTGATGGGTTTGATTGGATCTGCTTGAAAGAGTTAGAAAGGGTATACTGCAGAATACTTGTGGGAACTCGGGGATGCCTTTGCATTTACATAATTATTGTACTACCCTTTGCCATTGTAAGAGGGTGTATGCTGAGTATTAAGTTGTCTTAGTTAACTTTCGTAATAGCTGGTAAAATGTCCTAGCTGGGAATGATGCAAAAGAATATTATCAATACTTGAAGTCCTTTTTTTTTTTTTTGTTTCTCTCTCTCTCTCTCTCTCTTCATGCCTGGGTTGCATGATGGGCGTTCTTGACTAGGTAGAAGGTCATGCATTACTTGAATACTCTGTGATAGTAGATTGAAAATCTGTTTATACAACTTCTAAATGATTGATATTGAGTCAATAAACATTTAGGACCTTGACCAAGGAATGTGATCTGCAGTCTTGAACTGACTTATCAGTATGAGCATTACAGGCTGGGTTAAACGTGTTTGGCAGCCAAAACTTATCAGTCTATCTCGTGTTGAATTATCAGCTAGAAATCAGTTACCATGCAAATAGTATTAGTGCCTTATCTTCATTCATGTATTTTACAATTGTTGACTGGTAAGCTGAGTATTTTGTTTCATGGATTTGAATTTTTTAGGGTCTAGGCTTCACAGACTTTCTCAAAGTATCAATCTGAATGCCAATCCTTCTTGAGATCAATGTTACATCTATTCAAATCACATTTCTTCTCAATGAGAACTTAGGATTATAATCATTCTCTCAATCTGTGTTCGATATTTAGATTTGTTGTTGTATATTGTTAGATTTCTGTGAATTTTTTGTCAGTGTTTCTCTATTTCAATAGCTATGGGTAACTTTTATCAACTCTTCTCTTGTTTTTCCTTGCAGTATCAACCAGATGATCCAATTACCCTATGGGTAAATAAAGTTGGTCCATACAACAATCCACAAGAAACATATAACTATTACAGCCTTCCATTTTGTCATCCGGGTATCAATCCTGCGCACAAATGGGGAGGTCTTGGTGAGGTCCTTGGTGGAAATGAACTGATTGATAGCCACATTGATATAAAGTTCCAAAGTATACTTTTTGTCATTGTTATACTATTTATTCGATTGCTGTAATTTCTTTAACAATTATTTTCCATGTGTTTGACTTTTATATTCTTTATTCTGCTCCTCCTGTTTTATTCTTCAACAGAGAATGTGGACAAAAGTACCATTTGCCAACTGGAACTTGATGAAGCAAAGGTCGGACAGTTCAAGGATGCAATTGAGAACAGTTATTGGTTTGAATTCTTCGTGGGTAGGTGTAGCTTTTCGTTCTTTTATATAAAAGTAGTAAGTTTGCACAAATAGAGCTACAAAGATATTGAAACTTAACAGCTCAGTTGAGTACTCAAAATTCCAGTATCTGAAAGCAGTGGATATCTAATAAATACTGCTATCAGTCATCAAGTTCTCATAAGATAATCACCTAGATTTTCTTTTTTGCTTAATGCAAAGAAAACAAAGGTTTCTTTTCTGTGCTACAAAAATCTTACGGAGCATACCAAGTTCACATTCTTTATTGGATCCATGCTTATGGATTGTGGCATGGTGCAAGCTAGATCTACATTTAAAATCATGTAAGTAGATCTGGAGAGTGAGGATACATGGATGCTTTCTCTTGGAATTGTATGTCTACTTGCAGGATTTAAGGGTTCATGTTGTCTATATGGCTTACTTTGTTGGAGCACTTACTCTATATTCCTTGCCTTTTTGTTGATGCCATATTTGTGCTCTTCATGATGCTGAAAGTTCAGATGACCTGCCTTTATGGGGTATGCATTAGTCTACTTCCTTTTCCTTTTATCTGGTCTTCCAATCCGTTTATAGCTTGTACTGAAGAATTTATCTTTAACTTTTTAGGCTTTGTTGGCGAGCTGCATCCTGGTAAGAACAGTGATAATGGCAAGCATGTCCTTTACACACATAAGAATATTGTTATTAAATACAATAAGGATCAGGTTTGTGGTTCTTGACATGCGTATGACTTCCATTTCATATTTTGGAATCTGCTGTTATTATTGACCACATTTCTATCTCGCAGATTATTCATGTAAATCTGACTCAGGAGAGTCCAAAACCGCTGGAAGCAGGGAGAATACTGGACATGACATACTCTATCAAATGGATTCCGACTAATATCACTTTTGCTCGTCGCTTTGATGTTTATTTGGACTATCCTTTCTTTGAGCACCAAGTAAGTACCATTATTGGTGATAGTTTTCTACTTTTCTTCTTCATTAGATTCTTTTTTGTTTCTTCTGCAACAAAATATTTCATTTTTCTTCACAAGTCTTTTATTAGGTTGTTCTGTTTTCTTTTAATTTTCTGAGAGCTCTAAATACATGTTGCAATACGCAGATCCATTGGTTCTCTGTTTTCAATTCATTCATGATGGTTATCTTCCTCACTGGTTTGGTGTCAATGATCTTGATGCGAACTTTGAGAAATGACTATGCAAAGTATGCTCGGGAAGATGATGATCTGGAAACTTTGGTGATAATACCTGGATCCTTTTCTTTTTTATCTTCTTTAAGGAAAGTTCTCTATTATTTGAAAATATATGTTTTCCTTGCTATTTCATCTATGTTCTCAGGAAAGGGATGTGAGTGAAGAGTCTGGTTGGAAACTTGTCCATGGTGATGTTTTCCGGTCTCCTCGCAATTTGGTTCTGCTTTCTGCCATTGTTGGCACTGGTGCTCAGCTAGCATTGCTTGTTCTCCTTGTCATCTTATTGGCAATTGTGGGAACGTTGTATGTTGGGTACGTTGAGAAGCTAGTATGAATTCAAAATTTGTGAGAGCTGTGAACATACATAATTATTTCTCTGCCTCTCTTAGACACCACTTTTATGCATATAAAGTCAAGCATATATGCATGGAGCTCTCAACGGGATCCTCATTTATGATGATTTCTATTTTATGAGTCTTTCTTTTCTATTTTATGAGTCTTTCTTTTGTATAGCATTGTCAATTTTGACCATAGTGTCTTATCTTTCCCCTCATTTTTAATCCATACTATGAACCACATAGTTATTTGGTTTTGGCAATTCATCTTTCAGCTTTTTGATTAATAATCTTATATACTGATTATTTGGTTCAGGAGAGGAGCAATTGTCACTACTTTTATACTGTGTTATGCTTTTACATCATTCATTTCTGGTTATGTGAGTGGTGGAATGTACTCTCGCAATGGGGGTATGTGCTTTATCTCTTAGCGATTCTCACTTGCATTTATTTCCTCTACTTGTGGATCTTTCATTAAAAAAGGTTGGGCTCCTTTTTTTTTTTTTTTTTCAGGTAAAAGTTGGATAAAGTCAATGATCCTTACGGCATCTCTCTTCCCATTTTTGTGCTTTGGGATTGGTTTCATCTTGAACACAATCGCTATATTTTATGGATCTCTGGCAGCTATTCCTTTTGGTACAATGGTGATTGTTTTTGTAATTTGGGCTTTCATTTCATTCCCCCTGGCCCTTCTTGGTACGGTTGTTGGAAGAAACTGGAGTGGTGCTCCAAATAATCCATGCCGTGTGAAGACCATTCCTCGCCCAATTCCAGAGAAGAAATGGTATCTTACTCCTTCTGTGGTCTCTATGATGGGAGGACTTCTGCCGTTTGGCAGCATATTCATTGAAATGTATTTTGTCTTCACATCCTTCTGGAATTACAAGGTAAAAGTCTTTTTCATAGGTTTTAATTGCTTGATGATCAACTAAAATCACAATTGCAATTCTTTATACCAACTATATTTGGTTAATAATCTGCCTGGTTTTGGGAGTCATAAATGATTTGGATGTATATTGTTTAATAACATATATGAGTTGTTCTTGCTCCTTAATGCTAGGTTCATATTTACCTATGTCTTGACTGTATGGAGACCGTCTTAATGCATAAAAATAGTTCTAATGTGTTTGCCTGCTATATGAAGAAAATTAGAAAAATCTAGACAACCCCAAACTGGTGGGTAGCCTTTCACTCTTTCTTATGCTGTACAAACAGGAAATAACTAACTTTTTCTTTTTTAATGTACTGATGACTACTAGAACAGTCTTTATTTCTTTTATATGACATGGAAATTGTTTGTACATATTGTAGTAATTTCATACGCAATAAACCTTTGTATTTTGCAGGTTTATTATGTCTATGGTTTTATGCTGCTGGTCTTCATGATTCTCATCATTGTAACCGTTTGTGTGACAATTGTGGGGACATATTTCTTGTTAAATGCTGAGAACTATCACTGGCAGTGGACGTCATTCTTCTCTGCTGCCTCAACAGCAGTCTATGTGTATTTATACTCTGTATACTACTACTATGTGAAAACCAAGATGTCAGGCTTCTTCCAGACCAGCTTCTACTTCGGATATACTTTGATGTTTTGCCTTGGGTTGGGAATTCTCTGTGGTGAGTTTTGTAATTTATCTACCTATCATATTTGTAAATAAGGTTATCTGGCCTTTTTAATGTGCTCATTCCAAATAAGCCTTTTCTCTTATGACTTGTTCAGTGGAACACGGAGTATATCCTTGATCTTGTAATGCTGCCTTTTACTTGAAATCTTGCCCAAAATATTCTGGATTGTTTTCCTTGGTTGGAATTTGGACATTTTTTCATAACTAGTTGGATGTATTAAAATGTCTGTAGATTAAACAGGATTTTGCAGAACACCGAGCATTTTTCTCTTGTTTTTATTGAAGGGCGTTGTGCAGGTGGTTTTGTTATAAAGAATGCATGGTTGCTTGTTTATTTTCTCCGTTGCTGTGTAGCACTCTTTGTTTTGTGCCAGATAGTAGAGGAGTTTTTGGCATCTTTTAGTTTTGCTTCATACGGGATTTTTATTATTTCTCTTTCAATATGCAGGGGCTGTTGGTTATCTTGGTTCTAATTTGTTCGTGAGGAGGATCTACAGAAACATAAAGTGTGACTAGAACTTTGCTGTTGGAAAGTAGAACCACCAGTGCTTCCATGAGCATTTTTAGTTGTCAAGGCAATATACGTCGAGAGGAAGCTTCTGGTCAGGTATGGGAGACCCTGGAAAGCCTACAGATGAAATCACAGGGTTTGATGGTAGGGATGTATTCTTGGTTCTCTGGACTAGATGAAGCCCTGAGATTTTTGTTTTGCCACATTTTCTTTTACTCGGCTGTAATTGGAAGCCCTGATTTAGAATTCAGATATTGTTTTATAATTCAGAAGGTAGCGAAAATATTAGACTCCAATGACTAGTTACACTTTTCTCCTTGACCCCTTTTCATGTAGATGTGTCCTGTGTAATAACTAATGGCTAAGTTCCCTTTGGATTTGTTATCCTATTTGCACTTTTTTTTTTTCGGGGATAAGGAACTTATCAAGGAATTCAGTAAATGGGTGTTTTTTTTTTAATTATTATTATATGCGTATTGCAGTATTTCCTGGCACATGTTTCTCATCTCATATAGTTTTTTCCTGATGTGTCATTCAATCTTTATGCAGTACAAATTTTTATGCCAAGTTTCAACTTTCAATCTCGGCCAAACTGTCTCAGCCAAAAAGAATTAAGAGGTTCTGGTACTTGGAGACTGAATGAAGCCAACATTAATATGTTGGTATGTGTTACTCTCTGGAGTATTTTCCGCTGTCAATCTATCAATGAATAAAAACCTCTTAACAATTTTAACGGTGGAGATGGTCTGAGGTTATGTTGCATTTACTAAATTTAGTGGTGTGGCATTTGCCAAGGGGCCCATTAGGTGTCTTCGGAAGTTCACTATCACTGCATCTTTTGAGCTCCGAATTTGTGTGATCTGCTGCATAATCTTGTGGTAATGAAGAACATTTGGTGTTCGAGAAAGTCCAATTGTTTCTGCTGGATCAGGTTTTCTACGAGAAGACTTTGGTACAAAGTCGTATTAGTGCTTTCAGTAGAGCCCGGAAAAAAAAAAAAAAAACCCATGGTTTCTTCTCTTCGACAAAATGCGAGAGGAATATATCGTCAGAGGATCGTGGCAACCACATTCACCAATGAACTTATGAACCTTTTGTGGTGATAATAAAAAGATAATGCAAGCCACGGCGGTTTGCCACGTGGCAGATAGGTCTACATGCCACTTCATCCCCCTCCTTTTCTTAGCCACACTTTCCCCACAATCCTCCCTATTATTAACACAGCTGCTCTAACCATGCCCCTTTAGTCTGCAATAGCATATAGCGTATAGCCCGTCCTCACTACTCCTTCCCCATTACACGGAAAATGGCTTCCGCCGCCTCTCTCTCCAATGCCATGGTCAGCACCTCCTTTGTCCGCCGCCAGCCGGTGACAAGCCTAAGCTCCCTTCCTAACTTTAGGCTGGCTCTTTTTGGCCTAAAAGCCCAGAGAGGGGCCCGTCTTACTATGTCTGCATACAAAGTAAAGCTCATCACTCCTGAAGGACCTCAAGAATTTGAGTGCCCAGGTGATATCTACATTCTTGACCAAGCTGAGGAATTGGGTATTGATCTTCCGTACTCCTGCAGGGCTGGTTCTTGCTCTTCATGTGCTGGGAAGGTTGCACAAGGTAGTGTGGATCAGTCTGATGGTAGCTTCCTTGATGATGACCAGATAGCTGGTGGTTATGTTCTCACTTGCGTTGCTTATCCAACAAGTGATGTTGTCATTGAGACACACAAGGAGGAAGAGCTCACCGCTTAAAAATATAAACTTCATGCTTTAACTAGACTATCTTTTCTTTCTTCCTCGTCTGTTTGTCTTATTGCTTTTATCGATTGGGCTTAGTGTTGTCAAGGGATGTTTCACCGTTTATGTCCCTGAATGAGTTACATGTTTTAAGGTTTTTGTTCATTTGTAGTCACAAATGAAATTGTTGTAGCCCTAATAATCTTACATATCTTGCTGAGAAGCTCTTTGTTCTCTCTCTCCCTCTCTCTCTTTCTCTCGTTCTTGAAGATCCACCGTGAATATTGCAGACTTGCAATGAATTAAGTCAGGTTCATGAAAAGACTAGTTCCAACACCGAAAAAGAAATGGGATAATCCAAATGCTTTCACTTTTGCTGTTGAAATCCAGGTGAAATAAAACCGGCCAAAGCTGTATAACCATGGCTCATTTACCAAAGTTTGAAGGAAGTTTGATAATCACTTGAACAGGAAAAATTATTTTTTCTTTTCTTCTACAAAAAAGGTCATTAAAAGGATATTGTTAAAAAGTTAAAAGAAAAAAAGAAAACCGGCTTATGTGTAAGATAAACATTCAGGTCATTTGAAACAATTCATGTAGAATGTCGACCTAATTCCCTTCTGCAATGCCTTCATTGTGTTCTTCATCAATGGTCTCAGGCTGTGATGTATTGATGCTTATAGACTCAGATAAAAATACTCTTCCACCCGTGATGAGAATTCGAGAATGTTATAGTTACCTAATTTACGGACTCCCATGGAGGAGCTTCTTGATAAAGTGCCGGATGCAACTGTGGTGAAGTGATTCTCTAACACTCTCAGCCAGCAACCATGGCTTTCTTACATTGGGATCCTATCTGAAACCATCAAGAGTTGAAATCTTAGCAAATCATACAGTACAAAGTAAGCATGTCGTATAACTCTTTTATCATGCTAATGCAAGTAACTAGGTTCAGCCATAAAACACACTCTCGTGTGCAGTGAAAGCCCTCCAATTTGGTTCTCAAATGGACTGTAGGTGAAGTACATTGGTGAAGCAAAGTAGTGAAAGATAACAATGGAGAAAACGGCAGAAGAACTTCCAGATTTATATCAGAATAAAAAGATGATTATATGTCGTTTATGTTTCTCATTATTTACTATTCTTGCTTCACGAAAAAAAAAAATCTAAAAAGAAAAAGTGAATATCGTATAGGTAGAGATAGTTTTTCTTTTTTAATTTGCTAGGTTATTTGGTGTGTTTGCTTTTTGGCTTTGAACATTATCGGGGGCTTACTTGCATAATTCACAAGAGGCTTGAGTCCTTACTTAAATAAGTAACAAACGAACCCTAAATTGATATTTGTCGAATCAAATCAGTATTATAAATTTCATTTCAGTATTTTACCTTGGCAATGCTCACAGGCTCAGTCGGTCTAGAAAGTTCCTAAACCTTGCTAAACCCTAGGCATGGCTTTGAACCCATTTCAACTCCGTCGAACCCTAACCCCTTCGACCATCCTTCAGTGCACTTTCTCTGTTCTCAAACCTACGGTCCATACAATTTCATCCCCCATTTCCAATGCCACTTGTGCGGTTACTCCACCATCATTAACATCAACTTTCCGTATTTTTCAATCTCGATGGTTCAGATCATCGGGGCGCCCACTTTCATCACCGAGATAGTACAAACTGTACAAGGAAGGGGACGAGATCACGGAAGACACGGTTCTATTCGAAGGCTGTGATTACAACCATTGGCTCATTATAGTTGATTTTCCCAAAGATAATAAACCACCCCCTGAAGAAATAGTTCGCACTTGCGAGAATATTTGTGCTCAAGGCCTCGGCATCAGGTCCCCATTCATAAAGATTTTCTTTTTTAAGTTTTGCTCAATTATTAACCATTTTGTTTGATTGGTTTACTTCTGGTAGGCTTGATTTTTAAATCTTTAGTTTTTATTGGGTTTCAATAAGCATGCTGATTTTGGGTTACAATAGGCAAGCTGATTTTGGGTTAATTTGTTTCAGTATGGAGGAGGCAAAAAAAAGAATATATGCTTGTAGCACTACTACTTACGAAGGTTTTCAGGTTCTAATGTCTGAAGAAGAGTCTGAAAAGTTCAATGGTCAGTGCTTTACTGCTTATCATATATATGTGCTTAAACGATTCTGATCTTTGTGGCTGAGAGAAAATGAATGAAGATCCTGACTTTTGAAGGTTTTGCCTTTAAACAGATATACCTGGGGTCGTTTTTGTATTGCCAGACTCTTACATTGATCCAGTAAATAAGGAGTATGGAGGTTAGGAATTTTCATATTCTGAATCCCCCACACTGTTTTACCACTTATTTGCTGATTCTATTTGGATGGTACTACATTGTGATAGTATTAAATCGGGCAGTTGAATATTTTGCTGTGATTGCCAGGAGACAAATTTGAGAACGGTGTTATCACGCCAAGACCACCTCCTATTCAGTATGCTAGAAACCAAGGTGGTAAGTTCCGTCCACATAATAGAAATCCTGACCAACCGAGATATGATCAACAAGGAAATTCAATGCCAAACCAGCAAGGGAATCCACCATTCAATCATCAGGGATTTGTGCAAGGGGATGGAAGGAACTATAGGCCTCCACAAAATTATCCACCTCAACAAAATTACAATCGGCAGCCACCATTGAGCAACGGAGATTATGCTCCTAGAGGAAGTGATACTTCATTTCGGGGCAGTTACAACCAAGGAGGGCAGGGCAATTATAATTCCCAAGAACGAAGGGACTTCTTTCAAGCAGAGCAGAGGAATTATATGCCTCCTGAGCAAAGGGATTTCAGAGGAGATCATAGGAGCTATGTTCCCTCACAAGGCGGGAATTATATGCAGGAACCAAGTTCTGGCTATGTACGGAATTTTGGGCAAGGGGCAACTCCTGGCTATGGGCAGAATTTTGGGCAAAGGGCAAATCCTGGCTATGGAGAGAAATCTGGACAAGGAGCAAATCCTGTCTACGGGCAGAATTCCGGGCAAGGAGCAATTCCTGGCTATGGACAGAATTACGGTCAAGGATCAAATTCTGGATTTGGTCAGAACTATGGACCAGGAGCAACTGCTGGCTCTGAGCAGAGTTATGGGCATAGAGCAAATCCTGTGTATGAACAGACTTACCCGGGGCATGGAGCTGGTCAAGGGTTCTCACAAGCAGAACAGAGAAATGTGCAAGGAGAGCCCACAAGATCAATGGGGCAAGGAGGGATGCAACAAGTAAGACTTTCCTTTTTAATCATTTGAACTTTTGGATAAAATCTCATAAATTGATGTTGAACCCTCTTTTCCAAGTTGCTTTTTCTATTGAGCTATATCAGGTGCTTGGGCAACATTTTCTAATAGAAGTCGTTTGTTTCTGCAGGGAAGATACTAAAGGTTTCAAATGGTTCTTTGAGATGATTGGGGGAATGGTCATGCAAATGGTCTCTTTTCTTTCTCTCTTTTACACTTTTTCATGAGGGTTACATATAGCAGTTTCTGTTATCGATCATAGTAAATAGTCGACTGTTTTGTCTTTGTTCGATTTTGTGGCCGTGAAGTTGAGCTTGTGGCATCCCCTATTTGGTTCAGAGCTTGCACTAGAACTTTTTTCTGCTACGTTGTGGTACTGGTACATATTTCAGCTAGAAATCAGAATCTGATTTTGCCTCTTGTTTCTGCCTTTTCCCTTTTTTCTTGGTGAACATATAGGAATTTCAGTCATCATCCTATATCGAATCTTTCTTCTTGGAGAAAATTATGCATGGAGGTTGCCATTTAATATTTCTGTCTGTAGATTTTTGTTATTAGGATATGAACAATTGTAAATCATATTTTTTCAAAAAAAAGAAAAAAACACAATAGCATACAATGCAAGGTCCGGTTAGTTTTAGTAGCAACATATAATCCCATTCAAAAACAAAAATTGCAGGATGTAGAATTGCAGAACTGTCAAGAGGTGATTTAAACTCAGTCCTTCATGAGAAAATCACATTCTAATGATTCTTAGCCCCTGAAAAGAAACCTTTGTTTAGTAGCAGCAGCAGCTGTGCTGAATGTTTTCTTTTTTCTTTAAACTTGTTTTATATTCTTTACTGTAAACAATTTGTACAAATAAAATTCATGCTCTCTTGTCTAGACATTATTAGTTATTTCATGAATCAGTTTGAGAGTGCTGACACAACAACTGAAAGTGCTGACACGTTAATGGATATCAACCCTGGTTTTTATTTGCTCTGGTGTTTGCCAATTTAGATCAGAATGCTACCATGCCAATGTTAATAATACTTTTCTAGTTACTAATAAAGGATGATTTTCATCCATGGTCCTTTTTTTGTTATTCCACTTCAGTCTCTACATTCATATACTAGACTATGTTCACAAATGAGTAGTGAAACCACTCAAAAATTTTGGGTAAATGCTCAATTTGACATTAAACATTTGGATAGTTGCTTAGTTCATAACTAAATGTTTTAATTTATATAAACAAAGATTAAGTGTTATCGACTTGTAATAATGTGATCAACCTAAATTTTAGAAGACCATATTGAAGTACCCAAAACAAGCAATGACCAGACAAGTAGGGGTGAGCAAAACTCGATTTGAATTGATTAGATCAACCGAAACTAAGTGAATTCGGTTGAATTGATTTGATTTATTTGGTTTTATTCGGTTGAATTGATTTGATTTATTTGGTTTTGATTATAATCGATTTTTTAAATCAGTTAAATTAATTAATTTGGTCGGTTTTCAATTTTTAAAATTGATAATTGAATTGATCGAATTAACTGACTTTTTAATAAGTAAAAGTAAAAAAAAAAATTGAGATAAATATTTTTATTTATTTTTTTCTTGTAAAATATTGTTAAAATTATTAAATTTTTTAGTGATTTAGTTTGAATGATACTTGATTTTAAATTTTATTGAATTGGATTTGTAGTTAAATAATTATTCATAATAAAAAATAAAAATAATAAAAAAAATTAGTTATTTAATCAAATTGATTGAATCGAATTAATTTTGGTTGATTCGGTTATGATCATTTATTTAAAAATTTTCGTTCAATTCGATTATTTATTAATGAAAATCAGTTAAATCAATTATTTATTTTTTTAAACCGAATCAATTGAACCAACTAATTGTACACTCCTACAAACAAGCAGGAAATGTATTAAGGTAGCCCTAAGCAACTACTTAGATGCTTCAATTGGGTGCTTGCTAAATAATCAATTTTGTATACTAGCAGACTTACAATTTGTAAACCTTAAATTCTTTTAGTTTCTCATAGAAAGGATTTGTCATTTTACATGAAAAACTTAATTCCACGTTATTTTTATTTATAATAAATTTTAAATTTAACAATGTGTATCAGTAAAATTTTTATTAAAAAAAATTCTTATATTATTATAAGTTAACAATATTTAATTTTTATTTGTATAAATTAAAACATTTAATTATGAATTAAGCAACCAATCAAATATTTAGCCAAACTTTTGGCTAAAGAACTAACGCCAGTTGCACCCAGGCTACGGTGCCCAAGAACGAGTTCAAAAAATAAAATAAAATGGATGCACTAGAAAAGGAAAAAATTATAAAGTGAATAAATTGTTATAAATAAATTTTTTCTTGCCCCGTTTTCATAGAAGACCGCATAGCGCAGTGGATTAGCGCGTCTGACTTCGGATCAGAAGGTCGTGGGTTCGACTCCCACTGTGGTCGTTCGGCTTGTTTTGTTCTCGGTTTTAATCCAATGGCCCAAATGTTAGGGCTTGAGCTTGGGCTTTAGTTTCAAATCGTTTCTGTACCGTTATCACCCGGTTTTCACTTCCTCAGAGTCGGAGCCTGCCCCTTCTCTTTAGCCCTTCCGATTTAGAGTTTAAGAGCTCTGTAACTTTGCAAGCTCAGTTGCATCATTTTCTTCGAACTTTGTAATTTAACGAAGTCTTTCTCTTTGTCGTTAAGTTAAAGAAAGTTTGCTCTCCAATCTATCGAGGGTTTAATTTACTGCTAAAATTCATAGCGAAACGCTCTTTTCGAGAGTAAGTTCTGAGAAAATGGCTTCAATAGGGCAGCCACCGTCACTTAAAAGAAGAGATGCGCCATTAACAAGAGAAGGAGATCAGATTACTATAAGCCCTTTAGGCGCTGGCAATGAAGTTGGTCGTTCTTGTGTTTACATGTCTTATAAAAGCAAAACTGTGCTGGTATGCTTGCTAATTCTTTAAATATATATTTGTTTTTTATTATTTTTTTGCTGATATTGTTATTATCTTATTTGACTGTAATTTTTCCTATGAGTTTTTGTTTTTTTATTTTTGAATGATAGTTTGATTTTGGAATTCATCCTGCTTAATCGGGTTTGGCTTCTTTGCAGTATCTCGAGAGATTGATCCTTCAACAATTGATGTCCTTCTTATCACCCAGTATGGCTTTTCCCCCTTGTTTTTGCTTTAATTTTTTCGTTTTTGTCCTTAAAATTTGGTGCTGGGTAGAGTTAACTGTTATATTTCATTTACTTTTGGCATTTATGCAGCTTTCACTTGGATCATGCTGCGTCCCTACCGTATTTTCAAAATCAAACTATTTTTTCATGTTCTTCCAATGTTTAATGTCCATCCGTTCTAGGGCTGTATTTTCCAGTTAAATCTGGTTCCAATGTTGTCGAATTTGCTTTGAAGTTATTTCAAATTTACCTCTGAGCCTTTTAACCATTAATGGTTTGAAAACTATTTGTTCTGTTTTGTTCTTGACTGCAGGTTATTGATTTCCTCCAAACCATGGAAGTAAATGGCATAAAGTTCTGGTGCTACACTGCTGGTCATGTTCTTGGCACGTCTAAGTTTACAATGTGGTCTTGTTTAAGAACTAATGTGTTCATATTTTCAACCAGACCACGTTCAGAGGTCGAGTTTTTATGACTTATGCAACAAAAGCTATTTGTTCTGTTGATAGAAGCTCCTTCTGAGTGATTATGTAAAAGTGAGCAAAGTTTTAGTTGAAGACATGTTATTTGATGAACAAGAAATTAACCGATGGATAGAATTGAGCTATATATTCTTGCTTTTCCACTGCTTCCAATGTTTAATGTCCATCCGTTCTAGGGCTGTATTTTCCAGTTAAATCTGGTTCCATTGTCGTCGGATTTGCTTTGAAGTTATTTCAAATTTACCTCTGAGCCTTTTAACCGTTAATGGATTGAAAACTATTTGTTCTGTTTTGTTCTTGACTGCAGGTTATTGATTTCCTCCAAACCATGGAAGTAAATGGCGTTAAGTTCTGGTGCTACACTGCTGGTCATGTTCTTGGTGCTGCTATGTTTATGGTTAACATTGCTGATGTTCAAGTCCTCTATGCTGGAGACTATTCTTGTAAAGAAGGTCATCATCTCCATGCTGCTGAGCTCCCATAGTTCTCTCCTGATATATGTGCATTTGAATCCACTTATGGTGTCCAGCTCCATCAACCATGACACATTTGGGAGAAGTGATTCGCGGATGTTATCCATTCTACTATTTCTCAAGGGGGTCAAGTTCTAATCCCAGCATTTGCCCTTGGTCATGCCCAAGAACTTCTATTGATCCTTGATGAGTATTGGTCAAACCACCATGAGCTTCATAACATTCCGATGTATTATGCTTCTCCACTTGCAGAAAAGTGTATGGCTGTTTATCAAACTTACATACTTTCTATGAATAAGAGAATTCAAAACCAGTTTGCACACTCAAATCCCTTCAAGTTCAAGCACATTTCTCCGTTAAAAGGCATTGAGGACTTTAGTGATGTAGGTCCATCTGTTGTAATGGCAAGGCCAAGCGGACTTCAGAGTGGGCTGTCACGCCAACTCTTTGACATGTGGTATTTTGATAAGAAAAAACGCTTCTGTTATACCCAGCTATGTCGTCAAAGGGACACTGGCAAAAACAATTATTAATGAACCAAAGGAAGTCACACTCTTGAATGGTCTCACTGCTCCTCTCAACATGCAGGTTCATTACATTTCATTCTCTGCCCATGCGGACTATGCACAGACAAGTACATTTTTGAAAGAGCTCATGCCTTCCAACATAATTCTTGTTCATGGAGAAGTAAATGAGATGGGAAGACTCAAACAGAAGCTTATCACAGAGTTTACTGATGGCAACACCAAAATCATTACCCCTAAGAATTGTCAGTCTGTTGAGATGTATTTTAACTCTGAGAAAATGGCTAAGACCATCAGAAGATTGGCTGAAAAGACTAGAAGTAGGTGAAACTGTTGGCAGTGTTCTGGTAAAGAAAGGTTTCACATACCAGATAATGGCTCCCGATGATCTCCATATCTTCTCACAGCTTTCAACAGCAAATATCACTCAGACAACTACTATCCCGTTTGCTGGTGCCTTTGTTGTGATTAAGCATCAACTTGAGCAGATATATGAGAGTGTGGAATCTTCAACAGATGAAGAATCTGGGGTTCCAATATTGCGAGTGCATGATAGAGTGACTGTGAAAGCAGGATTCAGATAAGCATATCTCACTGGATTGGATATCAGATCCCATAAGTGACATGGTGTCAGATTCCATTGAGGCATTGGTTCTGAACATTAGCCGGGAGATCCTTAAGGTGGTAGTTGAATCCTGAGGCTGTAAAAATGGAAGAAGAAAAAGGGTAGAAGACGGAAAAGGTTATTCATGCACTCCTGGTTTCACTCTTTGGGTATGTCAAATTAGTAGAAAATGGAAAGCTTATAATAAGTGTCGATGGGAATGTGGCTCATCTTGATAAACAGAGTGGGGATTTTGAGAGTGAAAATGAAGGTCTAAAAGAGGGAGTAGAGACAGCTTTTTGACGAATTCAAAATGCAGTAAAGCCTATTCCTCTCTCAGCATCTTAGGTTTTTCCATTATCTTTTGATTTATTTATTCCCCTGTTAATGTGCTTGACTTTGAGGATAAATTTTGGATTGTCAATAATGCAAGGCATATTTAAGTTGTTTTCAACACTTATTACTAAGCACTGATTCCTATTTTGTACAGCTTAGCACCTTCTTCTTCAAGATTCCATCGTCACTTTTTATTCTAATGATTTGATCTGATAAGATTCATGGTTTTGATCTGGTTAGATTCATGGTTTTCTGCCCTTTATGTGAAAAAAGGGTGCATCAAATTTTGCGTGGTTAATCAAAAACCAATTATTCATTAATGCTATTTTTATTGTGATTTTAGGATATTGATCATCTCCTACCAAATATTGCCAACTTCATACTTGGAATGTTTCCTTCTTTAACCAAGAATCCAG